TGAAGTACATAAGATTTTATACGATGAATGAGATAAAAGAAAAATTTTTTTGTTTATTTCATAAAATGATTAAGATGTTCTATTCTTTTTAGAAATCTTATAATATCTTAAGATTTTATTCTTTATGCAGAAAAATAAAAAATAAATGATTGCATATTGCGAAATTAAATGTTTGATATTTCGTGAAATATCTGCGTTATCTTATTATATATTAATTGATAATAATAGAGACTAGTAGAATTCATTGCTTTTTTAATTATTCAGTTTCGATTCAAAAGTCATAGAAAGTTTAAGATTTTTTTGTTGCAAATTCTTCTTGATTCTGTTTATCACTGTGATCGTTGATGAATCAATTTTATCAGCATAATAAACTCGATAAATATAATAATTTGATGGATGTTCAAGAAGATATTCAACTTCGCCAATAGATACTGAAAATGTATTTTGATCATAAGATCGAGTTGTTTTAACTTCAATAAATTCTTCTCGATTATTTTCTGACTTAATAATCATATGAATATCATAAGGTCTACCGGATTCTTCTTGTTGATTGATCCATTTAATATCTTCATTAGGATATTTCCATTTAAGATAACGAAAAACAAATTCTTCACCTTGACGACCTGTAATAAGATCAGCTTGAGTGCCAACTGAACGAAAGGAATTCGTCGTAGATGATTCATCAATTAAAGAAGACATGCTTAGATCCATATTTGTCAGAGTCGAAACAATGATGCGGTCGAAGTTAGCAGATGGTAACGAAGTAGAATTCGAAAAAATCATAGGAGCATGCGGTTGAATAAATTGACGTTTGGATGATCTTATCTCATCTTCATTTGATTTATTTTCGTTCAAATTTACTGAAAAAAAAATGAAATTCAATCTTTTATTCCATCTTAATAAACATATATGACCCAAATCATTCGTTAGCGACATGACAGAGTACGAATATACAAACGAAAAACATGCTCTTATAACCGAATGAAAAGTTCAGAACCAATTTTAAATGATACTAATCCTTCTTGACAATTTCTAGACGATGGTAAGATAAAAATTTTTGTTTTGGGACTTGATTAGAACTCTAGAAAA